CAATGAAAATAAGCAGACAAGATGAACATGTTGCAAAAGAATAGATGGAGAACTATAGTAAAATAAAACTCATATAACTTAATTGTATTTTTCTGGGGCTTTTGAAAAGCTTTACAACAGGGGAAAAATACGTCACTGTTGAATCCTATTTTAATGTAAAGCATTGCCAGAAAATGATCATACTTGGTGCAAATGTAAATGTGATAGTAGAGTTTTTGCAAATCATTATGGAATTTATTTGCTGGTGTGTGGAAGTGATTTCTCCCGGGTTACTGAATTAGGTACTGTTATTTGAAAATATGCACATACCCGCCTTGTTACTGCAAAACTAACTTGAAAATGCTTTACTCTGATATTCCTAGTTTTGCCTAGAAGCTTTTACTGGGAAATAATGAACACATGCTAGTGTACTACTTCTAGAGGTTTTCTTTTCTATTCTGGTTGGTGAAGGGTTGTGTTATAAATCACAGAAAGTTATTCTCCAAAAACTTTGTGAACAGTTTTTAAATCCAGAATTTTTTTTTCTGATAGCATGACTGAAATGTAAAATCTAATATATGAAGCAACAAAGTTTTTCTTAAAAACTTAAAACATTATAAATTCGGCTTTTGATTGCAGGGACCATATTAACATTTTCCTTCATGAAGAAATCTATCGTCTATACGAACATGCAAAAAAGTCATGTTTTCATCAGATAAATCAGCATTCTGTCTTCATAAGTTTAAATTTCAAAATGCATAGACACTGCATTATATTTTTAAATCCAAGACCAGTAGATTATTTTTTCTTTATAAAGAGGTTGATAAATAACTGGTTAGTTACTTTTCCTGCCTTTAGAAAAGGTGTAGAATATAAAGTATTCTCCATTGTGCTATTTTTATTTTTAACAGCCCTCAGGACTAATGTGTCTCTAATCTTCCTACTTGGAGGGCTTTATGTTTTATGTTTGTTTGCAAACACATAATGAAAGAGTGCAATTATAAAGCTTAACTTCATTGTAATTTTGGATCTTAGATTTTGCTCCATAGAAATGCTGAAGTCTCAGTTACCCATTTCAGTGCAGTTGAGCACTGAATATATATATATTTTTCCATTCAGAAAACAAATTCTTGCTTTTTAGTTGGTATTTTTTTGATCATTAGACATTAATATTTCGTATTTTGTAGTGCAGTGTAAGTGGTACATATTGTTATGCTTTTTGAATAAAAGTTACAAATGTATTTATAAAATGCTTTCACTTCTATGAAAGAAAAAGAACTCTAAAAATCGTGGAACACTTTCAGTTTATCAACAAAACATTGCTTTTGTGAAAATAGCTTTATTTCTTAGTAGATTCTGCTGCATGTTTTAAAACTTTAGAAGTGAAACAAGGCTGTTTTGTTTTGTCTTATGGGTTTGTTGGTTTTTTGTTTTTTTTTTTTTTTTTGGCAAAGGTTTAATTCATATAAACTAAGCACTTTGTTCTATATGTTCTAAATTCCAGCAATGAGATAAATAAATTGCTGGATTGGATGGAACATAATTATTGAATTTTGGCAGAACTTCAGTGAACTCTGCCATGAAAGATTAATGTGCGCAGTGTGCTCTTAGATTCTAAAGTAACAGAGTAAGATAAGGGGAGCACATAACAGGCTCCAACCTTTGTGCTTTAGAGAAAATAGAAAACCATGGGCAAATGTTAACTTTTGGTATAAACTGCTAATGATAATGTTTTGTCATCTGGGTGATAAAAACTACAGGAGCAGACAAGAAAATCCAATTTAACACAAATTCTCTCCACTTCTTTCTTTCTCTGCTTCCCATTTTTCACAATTAGAATAGCCACAGTTGCTCTATGTTCATAGGAAAAGGAGAACAGAGCAGGCAGGGTACTTACAGTATCCAGTAATGTAAAGTCCTGACGGAATCCCTCCACATCTGCTTGTGTCGTATGTGGGTTTTTACTACAGTCACGATTTTGGTTTGTGATTGTGGTGCATTGATTTCAGAATACAAGTAAAATTGTGCTGGCTGGATAAAGGCTGCGTGGAGTCATAGTAGAGGTTGTTATTATTCCCTCTCTCTTCTTTCTCTACCAAACGTTAATTGTTTAAAACATTTGCTTCAATTGACAATTTGTGGTTATAATCACAAAATCTTATTCCTCTTTGCTTTTAAATGATTATTGCACCCAAATAATGTTTGTAATTGAGAACAAAGATGTATTGTCCTGCCAGTCAGGCTCCCTCGGCAGGACCAATAGGATTGCAAAAACTTTTTAGTATTTTCAGTCAGTTTGCTTTTGGGGAGAACAGGCATGAGATCCACCCTGCTCTGGGGAAAGCGCTGCCACTTTGCCGACTGCTCCCTGCTCCTGGGAGCAATCCCTCTGCCTGCTCAGCCGCTCCAGCACCCTGAACCTGAGCCCACATATTTTCTCTTCCTCAGATATGTGCAGCAGCAAGCACCAGCCCCTGGAGCTGGTTTCCAGGAGGGCTCAGGGATTGGCAGCACGATGGGCAGGCTCCAGCACGGCTGCAAACACAGGGGCTGCCTGACGGGCTGGGCATGGGGATGTGGCTCAATGCACCCCAAATGCCTGGAATCAGAGGGAGTGAGACAGGGAGGATGCATGGTAGGATTTTTTCTTCTGTTTGCTCCTTGCTTCCAGACTGTCAACCTGCTGCTAAGGCTGAGTCTGCTCGGCTCAGTGTTTTAAAATGGCAGATATCCAGAATCTCAGATATATTTCATGACTTCAAAGACATTTCTTCTCTCCTTCTCAGCCACATCCTTAAGCTCATGATGACAGCGTTATGAGTGGGATAGTTAAAGAGGTATAAGGGCAAGGGACTGATCCAGTGCCCATTGCAGTCAGCAGAGAGAGTGCCCCTGACTACGTGTCTTTGGATCCCACACCCTGTGACCTGGCTGCTCTTCCCCCCTAGTTCCTGATGGCACTAGCATGACTAGCATTGCCATCCTACTCAGGCAGCTTCCTTGCCTTCATTGGCACTCCTCTAAGAGGAAGGTTTACTGAGTAAAAGGCTTGAATGTGCCTTCCTTGTGTTGTAAAGAAGCAGAGTCCGAGTGCTTATTTTGGCTATTTACAGTCCTTTCCCTTGTCTTTCTCCCCTTCTGGAAATGACTCTTGCTCCTGACCTTGATTTATCAATTTATATCACCATTTCAAGTGGAGTTCAGTATGTTCAGCTACATGTCTGTATCTCCATTAAAATACTGCATTTTTGTATGTCCATGATGAAATGAATTTATGTTCTAGGCCTATTGTTCTGATAATCAGGCACACTTTTCTTTCAATAATGTTGATTCCAAGATAGCTTCATCTTCAAACAAAAAAGGACACTTTTATCTTTTTTATGGAACTGTAGAATGCTTCAGTCTTTGTTTGCCCTATAAATGTGTTTAGTTGGAAAACCTTTAAAAAGTTACATTGAGAGTGTGTCCGTATTTTAAAGAAGACAATGATCCTTTTTTCGTTTAAGCAATTCACAGAAATGACCACTGCTTTTAGCAACGTAAAAAATGTTACCACAGATAATTAAAGAATAGTAGTAGGAATATTGGGCCTTCTTTGCACAGCTAATAAATGTATTTGCAGTGTGAAATCAAGATATCCTTTCACAGCAGTGGGGTTATGGGCTGTTAGAATACTCAATCTTAGAATATTATCGATATTTTTGCAAAAGTTGCATATATGACCCAGTGAACACCCCCTATATAACTTTAGTGTCTAATAGTAGACCGAATGTTGAAATGTGTCGCGTGTGAGGCTCTGGGATTCCCAGACAAAAAGGTGCCTTAAGGAAAAGCCTGCTGTTCCCTCTCTGCTGGCCCGGGGAGCCGTGCCTGCCGCAGAACCAGCAGCTCCCAGGGGTGCAGAGCCGGGGGCACCAGGCCCCGCAGCAGCTGGGAGAGCAGAGCCAGGGCAGGAGCCAAGCCAAGGCACTCGTGACTGCACTGAGCATTTGTTCTGCCTGGTGGAGAGGGAGCAGGAGGCTGGTTTGGGATCTGAGCTCTGCCCTGAGCCTTTCTCAGAGCGGGGCCAGTGCCTTTCAGCTGCCATCCCAGAGCCCTGGGCAGAGTGTGGAGAAGTTTTGTGGGCAGAGCACTGGGAGAAGGCTCAGTCCTCTGAGGGATCTTCTGGGGATTCATGAGTTACAGCAAAATTTAACACCCAAATTATACTCAGAAAATATGAGACAGGTGAATGAATGTGGGTTCTTAGATCTATAACTTTGTGGAAATCTTTCTTGCAAGCATGGTAATGAATTATTAAGCAGTATAAATTCTACTGAAGAGTTGTTTGGGTGCTTTTTAAGTCACCTGCACATTGTGAAGGTCAGCAGAGCAAATTATCCTAAAACATATTCTGTACAATGATGTACTTTGTGTTTTACAAATTTGCACATCCTGGTGTCCATTTCTGAGGAGTGTGTCCCTGGGCATGCCACGTCTCCCAAGGGCTGAGCATAACAAAAACCTGACCTCTCCCTTCCACTGGGACACACAAAATCTTGCATGTCAACATTACAACCTTCCAAAATATTGAAAGAGTGTTGTGAACAAGGGGAGTTTTGCAGACATCTGAAACTTTTTGGTTTTAATTGTGAGAAATGAGGAACAGTGCCGTAAAAAAAGGCTGTTATACTTGGGTGGAGCAAGAGGCAGTAGGGAAGGAAGATTTGAGTTTAGAAAACTCAACCAAGTCATGTAACTCACAATGTTTGCAACCTGTGAAAATATTGATGACAGAATTGAAATTGTGTTATGCTGGCAGGTCACAGCTGAAATCGCTTTTTGTGGTCTCAGAGCATGGCTGAAGCAGCAGAGTATTTTACTAAAATACTGCTGTATTAATAGCAGGAAAGAAACAAGTACCGGAAAGGAATTCCAAATATTTACAAGGTATCCCATTTGGGGACATGCATTAGTTTGGTAAATTCCAATTCCCAGACTGGCAATAATGTTTGTTACTGTGTGTCCTTTATGACTTTCAGAGCAAGAGAAGCCAACTTGAGGAGCATGCACACTGTGATACCCTCAGTGGTAAGTACCCTAACTGCAATCAAGTTTATTACATTTTTGTAGAGTGGAGGCCTTTTCAAGACCACACTTGATGCAGCTTAGTCACACAACAGCTTCAAATGGCATTCTGGAATAATAGGGCAGTAATGTGATACAGTCCATAATGAAAATCAGTGTACAGCACAGGTGGCTGCGAGCATTTGTGTGGTCAGATATAAAACCTTTGCTATGGGTACAAGCTACTGCTTTCCCACTTGAGGAAAGTATAATTAAAAGGGGTTTCCAGATGTGCTGGCACACATCTGCTGTTTTTAAAAGGGAATTTTGCAAATACAAACTGAACTGTACTGAACTGTATTGCATTCATCGTTATAAAGCCGTTGATGGTTTTTCAGGTAATAAAAAGATTGGAGGCATCAACACTCCCACTGTAAAACTGAGGTGTCTTTAGACAACAGCATTTTGTGTTCACTTTGTGTTCCTAGGATTTTCTGTGAGTAGTTCATAGCTGAGCTGCGGCAAATATGCAAAATTTTTTCTGGACAAAAATTAACAATTATTTTATGAAAACATGATAGTTGATTCCTTGCTAGTGATTTAATTTTTTACCAGGTAGATGTAGCAAATTTGTATGGTATTGCTTGTTTGTTTGTTTTCAGTGCAGTGAATAAATGATATTAAAACATTAGTAATGAACAGTGAATAAATGATAGTAAAACTAAAACATTAGGATTCAGTTTCTTTAAACAAATTTTCAAGATGTGGTAATAATCAGGAAACTAGAAAAATATGATATATTGAAACAGACCTTTAATTTCACCTCACACAGAAAGCAGAAAAAACTCTACCTATAGGCTTCCATGATCTATCCTTAGTTGAACTACCTGGAAGAAAATAAATCAGAAAACTATTATAAAATGTGATAGGCTTTAAAATATTGCTGAGAGAAGATTACAGATCTTTTGTTTTAGCTAAATAAACAACCTGTTTTTCATAATATCCCACTGATTTTGATAAAGCTTGTATTTCCCCTAGAAATGTTGCTATTAAAATAAAATCCCTGTTTCAGTAGTAAGTTTTCACCATTCCAGAAGTTTTAGTTACTGCTGCTACTTGGAATAAGCATAAGGGAAGAATGTTGTCCTGCTACCTTCTTACTGACTCTTCTAGCATTGCAGAGGTACCCATAACTATGATTTTGAGTTGGTTCTGAAAAAAAATGGAGGCTGTGATCTACTTGGGCTATTGGCCAGGCTGCTAAGTGATGAGAGAAGGTTTTTAAGGATGTCCTGTGTAATATTGCCACACCTTTGCTCATATTTTCTTTACTTACTTCCACAGATGTACCCCGTGGGCTTCCTTTTCATGTGAGAGTCTAATCCTTAGCAATTATCTTAGGGAAATACTGACACTGAGTAAATCAAATGGATTTCTGGATATTTCCTCTTAGTTGGACTCTTTCATGCAGCAGTTGCTTTTTTTTCATTTAAATCTTTCTTTCTTGACTAAGCAGGATCTAAAATCTCTTTTTAAGTGTGTAAATGTCAGAATAATTTGCAGAAGATTTAGTCAGAAAAAGGGCCACTGAGATCAAATAACTTTTAATATAAAACTTAACATATTGTCTGAACCTTTTAAGTTCTTACAAAGGCATTGATGGATTCAGTGAGGGATGCAAAAAGCAACCTTGGTAGCAAATTGCCCTGTGTGTTTGATTTTTCTGGAATAACATTATAACCTGCTGTGGTCCTGGTGCTGCTAAACAAGAGTGCTCTGGCTTTAACAATTTCATGCCTCTGAGACAAAGGGTCCAGATCAGCTCATTGCATCTGGCCTGTGAATGGGGACTTCTTGAGGATGCAATGAAATGGATGGCAATCAATTAGAAGGATATTAATAACATCATAGTGAAAATGCTGATTTCATCAATACTGCTAGTACCTCTGACCTTTTCCTTTTAATGCATATACATTGTGATTGCTATGGTATATTATAAATGTTCTATTGTGGCACAAAGACTTCCAATTTGTGCTCCCAGTGACAGTTTTACAAGGATATATTTACTAACACATACACATGCATTTAATATTAAACCACATTTAAATCACTGCTTGCCCAGGAGGTAGGATTTTAGCACTTGTGTTTGGGTATTTTTCTGGCAAAATGCCGTTTGACAAGAAACTTAGAAAGGTCTAAAAGAATACAGACATTCAGATGTGAAAATGTGCAAAATGAACACTACCTGGCACTTAAATTACACTCTGCTGCAATTAAGACTTGTTAATAGTCACTCCTCTGAGCTGGCTGCTCACATCAGAGACCAGCCCTGGCCAGACCCTCACAGTTTTGTACATAACCATTTTGTATAAAGGGTCAGTTTCTACAGAAGGTCTGGTGGGTTAAACAAAAGAAGTAGTTTATTGGAAAAAAAAAAAGAATATTTAAATGTTGGGGAGGCTGCAGAATTTTGAGTGCTTTTGGATTATTCACATTCCTATTATTTGGAAAATAAAATAGCATTTTACTCCCCCTGAGTGGGGGAGATGTGGAAGAGTGTTTTGGGGCTGTGCATCAAGGGGCATGAAAAAGGCACTTCATTGGATGGCAAAGATGACAAAGATCCTGCCCTGACCCAAAGATGGAGGACACAGCCCACCAAAGGTGTATCACCCCTCCAGGGCAGCAAACCTGCCCAGCGTAGCTCAAAGAGATGAGGCACTGCTCCTCTGGGGTATAAACCTCTCCCAAGCAATTCTGTAAGAGGCCAGGGAGCTGATGACTGAGAGTGGAGAATCTGTTACATATATGTGATATCACTGATACTATGGACTGCCAATTTGGCAAGGATTTCCTCTTCTGAACATCTAATCCTATTTTTTAGATAGTATTCCAGATTCAAAAAGTGCAGTGCTCCCTATTTCATCCAGAAAGAGAATTGAGAGTCCCTGCTTGATGCTGCATTTTATCTCCATTTAGAACAATTTTTTTTATTATTTTTTCTTGGCCTTTGAGCTGTTGATGTTAATATTTTCTTGTAAATCAGGAGGATTGCCAGCACTTTTTATGCCTCCCAGATACCCACTCTTCACCTTAAATTAAAGACTTCTGGCTGTGGCTTCCCAATCAGTTGCCATAAGAATACATGGTCTATTATGTTAGAAGTCTTGGCTAATGCCTTGGGAAGACTAAGCCACAGGAAAAAAAAAATAATACTCTTTAATATTAAGACTGATTATGAAAAGTATGTCCATAGGATGAAAAAATTCAGGGAGGAAAAAGACACCTTCAAAATATTGCTAAAAAATCTTCGAATATTTTGATGAGATGACTTTACAGAACCAGAAGACAGATCAAAATTAGTTATCTTATGTGTCAAGATTTTTTTTTAAGTTCCATAACTTTCTGATCTGTGAAATACAAGAAAAGATAAACTATCATCTATCTTATAAATAAAGATCAAGGGGAAGGTGAATCAGATCAAGTTATATATTTACTATCAGAATATATTAAAAGACTTCATTTTGTCTTGTTTTTCTACATCTATATTAATCTTTGGGAGAAAGAAAACCAAAAAGATAAATTTGAACTTTAAGCCAGAACTTTTTAATACTGAAAATATTTGAATAGAATATTTAAACAATTTCAAAATTTTTAAACAATTTTCAAAACCCTTGCTGCTTTTTTAAATGACAAGAAAATTGACACATTTCCTTGCAAATAACTTTATTTTTAAAGAAATAGCCTTTTTTGGAGGCAAAATTGTCAAAAATATTTCCTGCTTACTCTATCATGTGACAAATGTATATTTTGCACTTCTTCAATTGTTGTGCTTGTGATTTTGTACCATGTGAAATATTAACAAATTATCCTTTTAAGCTGTGAGTTTTCACACTCGCTCTTAGAAAATGAAGTACATGAGAGTAGAAATACATGGAAAATCTAGTTTCAGGGGCTTTGGCTGTGGATAAGCCTCATATGGTCATGGAAATAAGACCACTGAAACCATCAGAAGTGGTGTGCCTAGTGATTTACTTGAGGTCAGTATGTGTTACACCACTATAAATATACCTGCACACAGATAGTTACACTGCAAATAATCTTGAATACAGCCATGCAGTAATTGCTGCCCTGAGCTTTCACCTCCTTTGGTGAAACCTGTGCAGGGCAGGTCTGCAGCCAGAGCAGTGTGAGCAGCAGCAGGACAGAGTTCTTGGGGTAGCAGAGGTGTTCTGCAGGGAAACTCCAAACCCCACTGCCCAGCTGGGTGGTTCTGATCACTTGTCTGCTCCCAGGCCTTCCATTAAATTGGGCTGAAATCCCCTGGTATTTTGCCGCTTCCTAATATCATCCTGTCGAAATGTTTCAGTGTTGTTTAAGGAAGGCTTAAAGACACGGCTCTTAGTAGGGTTGTCATTCAAAGTGTTTATGCCCTGCTTTTTACAGGTCTTGTGAAGGAATATCTGCTTTCAGCCAGAAATGTGAGCACTGCACCTTCTATTCTTGTGCAGGGTCATCACTTGTGGCAGGAGCACTGAGGACAAATATATCCTCTCCTCTCCTGTCTTGCATAACTATTTCTATTGTTTTCTAATTGAGTGCTTCAGAGTTGAGGTTGTTTCTGATCAGTGCTGATTCACCTACTAGATGTACAGAAAATCACGTATGTTCTGAATATAATTTTCACTTTTCTGTGAGGCAGCTAGGAGAGGCTTTTATTTTGAGCTACCCAGTCTCTTATAGAACTGCCTTCCAATTGCAGGTGATTAAAGGGATATTGTATACCCCTGAGCAAAGAGCTTGAGCTCTTCAGGGGCAGAACATGAGTTTCTCTCTCTGTCAGTAGCTCAGTAAAAAAGCATGTCTGTGCAGTGTGTGCAGTTGCTGTTGACAGACACTCCCTGTTAGCTGGGACTGTGTTGGTAGTCTGGAGCATGATATCCCATTTTGGGCACTGGATAGCATGATGGGGGCAGAATGGAGTGACAACAGTCAGAGATCCTGAAGGTCTGATTTACAAGGAA